CCCCAAAACCCCAAAACCCCAAAACCCCAAAACCCCAAAAGGAAAGATAAGTTACAGAGAAGATATATGAAGATTGATATTATATTATAATGCCCCTAAAACCTATATTAATATAGAAAGATAAATTTTATTATAACTTTTAATACTATTTAAGAACCAGACGTCAAAATGCAAAAGATTATTACCATTGCTGGAGTCTTCCTACTCGGATCCGCTGTTGCCTCAGGCCTTGCCATTGATGAAGGAAAGCTCATCAAGGGACTCGTTCATGAACTTATTGATGCCGAAAAGGATGTTAAACTCATCAAGCAAAGTCTCTAAGCCATCGCAAAGAAGAGATCAAGATCAGCACCAAGAGTTGAAAGATCATCAAGCTGGAGCAAAATCCACCACGCTACTGGTGCTCTTAGTGATCTTACCAATGCTGGTGTTGCTATTTATGGCGCCACTTAAATCCCTCATGTTGAGAGAGGTTTCTCCCTCCACAAACTTGGACATGCCACAGGTATTGCTAGCGATCTTGTTAACATTGGCACTGGAATCTATGGTGCTACCCAAATGCCAAGAGTTGAAGGATGGCTCAGTGGTATTGGTGAGCTAACTGGCATTGCTGGTGATCTCACTGGTATGGGAATTGGAATCTACCAAACAGTTCACCCAAATGTTGAATCAGGATTCTATGAGGATGATGATGAAATTGAAGTTGAAGCTTCAAGAGGATCATCATCTAGAAGAGGATCATCTTCAGGTTCAAGAGGATCATCTTCAGGTTCAAGAGGATCATCTCTTCTTGATTATGCCAACATTGGTTCTTAAATCATTGGAGGTCTTGGACAAGCTGGTGCAGGTATGTACGCTTAAATCATGGCTGGCTAGGCTGCCGCTGCTCAACAAAAATACTACAACAGTCAACCACATGTTGAATAATACTGGGACGGTCCAGTCTATGTTAGACCAAGCAGAGTTGTCTACAACGGTGGAATGATCTACCCATATGACGAATGAGGAATAAGGGTAGCAGTAAATTAATTGTTTGATCTAAAAATAAAATCTTGAAAGATAATTTCTCAAATACTTAACATAAATTAATTTCTTCCACCGTATTAAAAAATTATCCAAAATTGAATTTCAAAATGCATTAAAATAATTGATTTACAAAAATGGGCTATAAATATACAATTTGGGGTTTTGGGGTTTTGGGGTTTTGGGG